AATGCTGATGCAAATGTGATATGACAGCATGCATTTTCCCTCTAACGCAGCCCCAAGGCCCTCTTTCCTGTTCCCCATGGACAGAGTGCCCTCTGCAGTTACCTGCTCCTGATGCTGCTGTTTGCTCCGCTGGCATCTTGTGTGCAAACTGCGTGAAGTGACCAGGCATCAGATAGGAACAAAGAAATGATACACATGAAGAAAAAAAAAAAAGCTGCTTTTGCTAGAAGTGTTACTTTAAATGTCCTGTTCAGTCCCTGCTAGGTCACTCAAACTTTGAACTCAAATTGTTTATCGCCTGATGGCTGTATTTCATTTCTGTAGTTGACAGGTATGTTATAAGGGACTGATAAATACTAAAGTATATGTAAATGCAGTTTCTGTCAACGCCTGATCACAAGCTGTTGAGGGTGCTTAGAAATATATTGGACTTGTGGCAAGTTTTTGCTATATACAGTCAGGCTGGCTGTAAGACTTCACTCTTATTTTAACTGTCATTTCTCTTTTATCGTAGGGTGTAAACCACCGGCTGCGGGGAAGTTTGACAGCTATTAAAACAAGAGCTCCACAACTGGGAGGTAATGAATCTTGAATTGTTGTTGCAGTCGGTTGACTGTTGGTAGATAACCTGGTTTGGGAATATAAAGTGCAGTGACACCTGAGCTGTGGGCCAGCTGCATTTCAGTGGGGTTTGTTACTCCAAACAGTGAGTAAATATGGTTCTGGTGCCTCCAGAATTAGTTTGGTTTGGAGGAAACATGCTTGTGTTTGTGGAGTGGTAGGCCAGAGTTAATAATTTTGTCATATTTTAACCAGCTCTGTGCAGAGCTGCCTGGGGACCTGTGCATTGTGTGCAGGGTTTTAAAATAAACAAAACTTCCTCATGAAAAGAAATGATCAAACTGGGTGGATCTGGATAGGGTTTCAGACTGTTCCCCTGGAGTCAGCTAGGTACATTTCAGTCATTTTTGTGATGTGAATTTTGTGCGTAAATGTCGAAAAATCACAAAACTGCAGCGTTGGCCAAAGTGACGTCGTGCCCTTTTAAAGGTCTCACTGTGGTCACGCATTGCGCCGTGCCGTTATGCCATTCTGACAGGCAAATTGGGTTAATACATTACAGAAGGAGAAAACTGGAGAGCGGTGTTGAGCGGGGAAATGTCATCTGCAGCAGAACTACTTAAAGAAATCAGAGCCACAGACTGAAAAGGCTTTATGGCCGCAGCCTGTGGTGACTGCACAGAGAGGGGCACCTCCTGGTTTTTAGCTGGTATAAAGCATTACGATATCTTAAATTAAGAAGGGCTGAACTTACTCTAAATAGTAGTTTCTCCCAAATGAGTCTGGAGATCAATATTTATTTTAGTTTATAATACACATCATTGTTAAAAGATTTCAGAATTTGCATTCTGAAAACCTGCATTCTCCTTGCATCTGCTGTACAACACTGGCCAGTACTGATCTTCTGAGATGCCAGAAACAGGATTAGGATAAAATGTGAAATTATTCTGCATCATTCTCTGAGGAAATATGTTTAAAAAGTGAAAAATACGGAAGTTCCCTGAGCTAATCTGGCTTTATTAGGATGGAAGTTCCATTATAATCACTGTTTGATAACCTTTCCATCATTAAATGTAAATTACTGAGATTATCTATAAAGTGTGTGTGTGTGTAATGTGTGTCACCTGGCAAGTTGAGAATTTTTCTCAGTGTTGATTTTAACCTATGTTTGGTTCTTTGTGAGTTTGAGTATACTTCCATGTCTGAAAGCAAGCATGCTAATACTACACCATCTCTTGATTATATGGCTGCAGTGTGGCTGGCTTGTCTGCTTTCTCTAAACTGGTTTTTGGTGGTTTCTTGTTTGTTTTTTTACAGGTAGCTTTGCTGTCTGGGGAGGTCTCTTCTCCATGATTGACTGCAGTATGGTCAGAATGAGAGGGAAAGAAGATCCGTGGAATTCAATCACAAGTGGAGCCCTGACTGGAGCCATATTAGCTGCAAGAAGTAAGAAACTGAGCACCTGGGAGGATATTAATTGAAAAACTTTTGTATTCTAAATGTAGAGTACTCATTGTTATAGTGAAGCAAGAGTCTGTCATGCCCAAATTGGAATTTACTTTCCTAGAGAAACTGCTAGATAATCTGAAACTTTTGTCCTGTGCTTATGAAAGTAATAATTATGTTCTCAAACATTACCGATGTTCCTTTCTTTCCTTGGGGGGGGGAGTTGCCCAGTAATTATCCTTTTATTGGTGATGCTAATGAGGCTTAATGGATGCAGAATTACTGCTTATAGGAGAGATTATAACTAAAGAAAGAGAGCTATAACATGCAAAGTAGTGCACCAAAGAAGTAAGAAGTATTGTTTGGTGCTTTTTATTTTTAGATGGGCCTGTTGCCATGGTGGGATCTGCTGCGATGGGAGGAATTCTCCTAGCTTTAATTGAAGGAGCTGGTATTCTGTTAACGAGATTTGCCTCCACACAGTTTCCAAATGGTAAGGAGCCATCAGACAAGGCTTTTATAGTGCGGTCTTTACTAACGTACCTCTTCCAGTCATCAGTCTTATCACAGGGTAAATCTACTCTGCGGGTTGCCTGCTTCTAGGGCTGCAGAAAGTCGAGGAGGAGCCGCACGTTGCTGATGAGATGAAATTATCATCAGCTCCTGCCCATTGGGCGACTGGAGGCTGCATGGCTGAGAGCAGGGACGTCCCTGCTGTCCATGGCTCCTGCTCCGCTGTCCCCTGATGCAGCCACACAACCCTGTCAGATGGTGGCAGCAATATTTTAGTCAGTGGTGGGTGACGCGACAGGTTTGAGGGAACAGGAAGTGGCAGTTGCGGGCAAGAGGGATGGCGCTGGCAGACTCACTGCCGTCTGTGTGCGAATGTGTGGGCAACCCTGGTTTAAATGAGGTGATAAAGATCACCCACCAGTTACAGATGAAAGATTTCAAGGAAGGGGAGTGATGGTGGTGTTTTTTTTCTAAACTGCTTCAAAAACTAGACACCCCCCCCCCCCTTTTTTTTTCCTAAGTAAAATGCAAGCTGAGGTCAGTTAGCCGAGTGGATAAACGTTTGTGTAAATACTTGCTTGTGCAAAATACTTAATACCTCGATTGCCCCACCTTATTTTGGGAGGAACACGGAAAAAAACACTAATGTTGAAAGGATTGGTAGCAAGCCACTGATTCCTGAGAGGCTTCCTCTCTCAGGTTTGTTCACTGACGTTCATTGTTTAATTTAAATTATAACAATTTCTGTTCTTAATAAAAAAAAAAAGAAATTAATTGGCTTTAGAGAAGGAGGGTAATCTG